TAAATAAAAAAAATATATTTAAACCTATAATTAATTAATAATTAGTAATTAGTTTATTTTATAAATTAGTATTAATTTTATATGTCTTTATTATTTATTGTTTTTAAAATATTGTTTAATAGAATATATTTTATTATATTGTTAACTATTTTGATATATATTCATAAATATATAATAAATATTAACTCTTAATATTTATTTTTTAATATCGAAGAAAAGGACAGTCTTAATACAACTGGATCCTATTCTGATGTTTTAAAATTAAAACAATATTATTTAAATTAATATTATCAATATCAAAGAAAAGAGTGTCTTAAGGCACTAGAAGTTCTTTTCTGATATTTTTAAATAAATATTTTTTTACAATTTTAAAATTATAAATTATAAATAAATATATTTTTGAATTTTTAAAGAGACAATTTATAATTAAAAAGTACCAATTTTGGGCGTTGAGGGGTGCTAATCCTTCCCTAAACGTAACCGACCACGAATCCCTTTTATTATTAAAAAGAATAAATTTTTGGTTATAAAACGCAGATCAGTTCAATTTTTTTGATGTTTTCTTAAAACTCTTTAAAAAAAATAATTTTAGGTATTCGACCTACCTGATCCAAAAAGGTCGATGGCGACTCCCAAATTATTTTCAAAATTTTATTAATATTTTCCCCACCAAATTTTAATATTTCGTGCCCGGACGAAAACCGGTTACGACAGCTAGAAGTCCTTTTCTGATATTTCTAAATACATAAATATTTTATTTATAAATATATTTAAATTAATATATTTCTTCATAATCATAATTTTGAAATAATAGGATTATAAATTAAATATATTTTGAATTTTTAAATTTCTTTATTTAAATATATTAAATTAATATATTTCTTCATAGGATTATAAATTAAATATATTTTGAATTTTTAAATTTCTAATAATAGAGACAATTTATAATTAAAAGTACCAATTTGGGCATTGTAGGGTGCTAATCCTTCCCTAAACGTAACCGACCACGAATCCCTTTTATTATTAAAAAGAACGAATTTTTGGTTAAAACGCAGATCAGTTTATCTTTTAATTGATGTTTTCTTAAAAACTCTTTTAAAAGATATTTTTTAGGTATTCGACCAACCTGACCCAAAAGGCCGATGACGACTCCCAAATTATTTTCAAAACCATTTATTTACATCAATTTTCCCGCCAAGTAATATTTCGTGCCCGGACGAAAACCGGTTACGACAACACACACAAAGGCATTCATTGGACAGTGTATGGACAGATTCCACAAGAGTCACAATCAGTGAGATAAAGATGATATGGAACATTTGGCAGTTAAAAAGTAGCATGCCAACTATTTGCCTTATGTTTCTGAAAACCAAAGAACAGCATTCCTAATAAGGAGAAAGAAGGGACATCATTCATGGGGTATGGTAATCAAAAGCTTAATCATCAAATATCCAGGGGAGGGAGGGGGAGAGACAAACTTTCACACTATCATACCTAATAAGGAGATATAGTGCAAATCGTGAGCTCCATATTACCATCAGCGAAGTCAGGACAACCTGAAAAGCAGAGCTGCAAAATCAATACACAGAAGATATATCCATAGAATATTATTCTGGGTTGACATTCACACAGAAGCTTCATGTCATCTGGACGGAAAGGCAAATGTGAAGAAATCTCTATAGCTCCATAACTCTTTAAAAATTATGATTTGATTAGTTTCAGTTTCTTGTGATACAGAGATTTCATGACATTTTCCTTTCCATGTGTGTTTGCAGATTTACACAGGAGCCAACCAAATCAATTTATAAAAGACAACACATAGCTTATCATAGAAAGGGTAGGGTGAACAAAAAAAGACCAACACTATCGTAACATAAGATATACAGCCCCGAGAACAAATTCTTATCAGTTTAAGCCTTATAAAAGAGGAGTTGTGAATTATGATCATTACTAACACTTTTAGAAGAGCTAGAGAATGCCGAGTATTAACAAAATTCAACTGAACTTAGAACCAAACTAAATTAAAAGATCAAGAGCATTTCAAAGTGCTTCTACCAGACCAACTAAACAAATAATGTTTGAGTTAAATTCATATACAGCCCTAAGTTTCAAGAAATAGTTAATATTCGTTTAGGGGATGGAACAGCTCCCAAAAAGCTTTATGTAAATGCTACAAGCTTATTGTTTTTAATTATCTAAATTTATGAGGTTGTATAGAAATTGTGCGTTTGTGTGAGACAAAATACTATTGCTACTGCAGGTGTCCGCTGCCAGAGAAGAAGTACCTGGAAGACGTGGATATCCAGGGTACATGTTTACAGATTTGGCCACAATATATGAGCGTGCTGGACGAATTGAAGGGAGAAAGGGTTCCATCACACAAATTCCAATTCTTACTATGCCAAATGATGGTAATGCATCTTTTAACTACATCACAATTTTGCACAAGACAAAAAAAAATGCTTTGTTGGCATATTTTTTTTTATTGTTTTGACAGATATTACTCATCCCACTCCGGATATTACCGGATATATCACAGAGGGGCAAATGTACATTGACAGACAGCTCTATAGTAGACAGGTAATTTCAAAACTAGTCTTTACAAAGATATCAGCTTGTGTATCTTGAAGTTATGTAGGTCCACAAATTATCACCTTGCTTCTCATAAATTTGTGCACATAATTTTATTTCTGATATGGTATTTTACATAGGAGCTGCATCTCCTCCATCCTTACCCTGGTTGAACATACCTGTTTTCAAAGTGGATTTTTGTGCATATGATTTTCTTCTTCATATAGTGGTTGTAGTTGATCTATGTCAATTTATAAATTCTTTGCCTTTCTGAATTGGACAGATATACCCACCAATCAATGTTCTTCCCTCGCTGTCTCGTCTGATGAAGGTGAGGGTTGCACTCATTTGTTCAAGCTCTTGATTATGCTGGAGTATAGTCTAGCCTCAGCCGAGATGTACAAATCATGACTTGCTATGGAGTGTAATGGTTCTTTTTTTGTTTGGTAGAGTGCTATTGGTGAGGGGACGGCGGCTCCGAGATCATGCTGATGTGTCTAACCAGGTCTTATAGTGGCATAATTTTGACAATTTATTTGATATAAAGAAATCTATCTAATGTTGTTTCTGGACACCTGAACTTTCAGTCGTATGCAAAATTTTCCATTGGGAAGGATGTTCAGGCCATGAAAGCCGTGGTTGGTGAAGAAGCTCTTTCTTCAGAGGATCTGGTTATACTTTATTTCCCACTTCTCCGTCAATTTTCTTGCACCATTGTTCGGTCGAGTAATTTCTTAGAACGAACATAATACGATGGCCTTGAATATATAACAGCTCTACTTGGAGTTCTTGAATAAATTTGAGAGGAAATTTGTGACCCAAGGAGCATACGACACCCGCAACATCTTTCAGTCACTTGATCTGGCGTGGACACTGCATCGCATATTTCCTGGCAAACTTCTCCACCGTATACCAGCGAAAACTCTTGACCAGTTCTACAGCCGAGATGCGGCTAATTGAAGGTCACACAAATCGATGCCTTAGATTGCCATCGCCTGATTCTCCATCATGGCTGCTTTGTCTGCTCAGATAATAATAGTTGAATCTCAGCCAGAATTTGCATCTCTTCTGCTGGCAGCAAATAAATATTCTTTTCGAACGTCCTTTATTTTATTTATTTTTCATCATGTTCATCAGTGCGACTCTCTAATGTTGGGCAGAAGCTGATAGGAATCTTTTGTTATTTACTGTTATCATGCAATCGATTTGGTTTTTTACATGGAAAGATAATATCTACTATCAAATAGAAATAAAACCTAAACTTTTATTTTATTGCCATACATAGCAAAACGACATAATTAATTTCCTATCTTTACCATATACATTTGATTTTTTTTGGGTTTAAATTTAATTATTATAATTATATTAACGTTTATATAAATATTTATTCTTTTAAAATAATTTAAATGCTAATATTTATATTTCAAAAGAATCATTTAAAGATAAAACTTGAACTTAATATTAAGTCTTGTGCTACCCAACTCAATAGTTATATATATGGTAAAAAATACTTCATATTTTCAACAAACAAGCAAATGTAACTCTATGCTTCTATTGGTTATAGTAAATACTAAAAACAACGTGCTTTTCTTGTCTAATCTAATGGTATTGTTTGTTTAATTATTTCTAAGATTAACGAAATGATAATTTGACCGAAGCGGTGGACTAATTAGAGTGCTGAGACACTTATTTTCAGAAACCAGAATCTAACGTATAAGAAATAAAATGTGCAATCGAATTGAATGTTACAATTAAATCAACAAAATCACCATATGATTGTATTTGAGAGATTTCATCTAAGTAGTAAATCCAGTATGTACATTTCTCTCTCTCTCTCTCTCTCTACTTCACCTACCAATTTCTCCTTAAATAAAAAAATTAAGAGTAAAAATTATGTTAAAATCATTATTTTGATCATTAAACATTTAAATTTATAAAATAATTATTAATTTTATTGGGTTGTTATAAAACATCGTTATAATAATTATAAAATTCTTATAAAACTAATGATGATGCTTTAACTGTTTAATAAAATTTAATGACAATTTTTTAATAGTTAAAATTTCCAATAATTATTTTATAATTGTCAAAAGTATAGTGAACAAAATAATCATGTAATAATAGTTCAGTGAACCATGGTGTACTTTACCCAAAAATAAAGACTAGTTTGAACTTTGAATATTCTTGTATTTTTCCAGCTTTCACTTTTCAGTGGGAAAATTTATCTGGCCAGGGGTCGTCGCCCCCTTTGTTTTTCCGGATCGATCGGGGGAAAGAGAAGGTAAAATTTCTTTATATATGTATATAACATGAATGTAAGAAGAGGTGGATAATACAAGAGGAGAAGAATGAAAACAGGAATGGGAATCGGGCAACGCTGGAGTTGATTGGCTGAGGATCGAAGGAAAGAGTAGTTGGGGGCAAGTGGCACACGTTCTTCTTGACTGTTCCCATGTCGCCATTTCACCATCCCTTCTTTTTCCTCTAATAATAATACTGAAAACAACAACAATAATAACATTATCTCGGATGACCATCATCATTCAGCTTCTACGCTAACTCCATCTCTGATTCACAAACAACAACTCCTTTAGGATTTCGACTATTCTTCCCTCGATCTCATCAAAGTTCCCAACCTCCTTATTGCTTCCATGGGTTCTCAGAAAAAGGTATTTTCCTGTTTTCCTTTTTCATTTAAGAAACAAAATCTTGGGTTTGCATTTTTTGTTTGTTTGTGACGAATCATCTAGATGCACTTTAAAACTAGACAATTTTATATACACACACATATTAACTGCATCGAGATGACTAGTTTTTAGAGGCTTGGACTCAAATTTTAGAAAATGATCCTGCTTGATAATTCAATACCAAAAAATAGCAAAATGATCCCCTTTGATAATTCAAAAAATTTTAAAACCAAATTTCAATTTGTATAATAATGGGATATTTCTTTTACGATCCTTATCGTTTTCAGACCGTCTTGTTTAATACGACTTATGGGTAAGTAATGTATGTTTAATACGACTTATGGGTAAGTAATGTAAGTTGCCATTAGCAACTGGATAAAGTCAATCCACCGGTATTTTTTAGAATATGGAGTTTTTTTTGTACTTATTTTCTTCTTTCATACACAATCTACTATTTCAATGATACCATATAATTGCCCTTAGCATCTTCATTAGCATTATCTTTTTATTGTATAATTTGGAAACCAAGTGCATTGCTGTGACTTGAGTTGTTGATCTACTTTTCTTATCTGAATCTTATTTCAACGTGGTAAAGTAAGGGGCAACGACCCTTTCAGAATACATGTTTAAATTTATTTATACTGGCTGCTTCAAGGTATGAAGAGAACCTTGTTCCTATCATGTTGGCAGTCTATTAGCTATTGTTATTCAGAGGATGCATCTAAGGTTACTTGTGATGGTTTTCACTCTGCTTTTAGCCAGTTTGCACTTTTACATGTTATTTTATTGTATTTATTATAGCATCATCAATATAGAAAGATAAAAGTCGTTAATCTATCTTTTCAATACATGCATCTCTTGTTGTCCCTCTCCATTTTGTTCCTTGTTTCTGAATAGGACTTTTGGTGTTTCTAAACAATGGTGCTATTCAGGGCGGACTTGAAACAGATTTTTTCACTGAATATGGAGAGGGAAGCCGATATCAAATTCACGAGATCATTGGGAAAGGAAGTTATGGGGTTGTTGCTTCTGCGATTGACAACCACACGGGTGAAAAGGTTGCAATAAAAAAGATCAATGATGTCTTTGAGCATGTCTCTGACGCGACAAGGATTTTGAGAGAAATCAAGTTGCTGCGGTTGCTTCGACATCCTGATATTGTAGAAATAAAGCATTGTATGCTCCCTCCATCTCGACGAGAATTCAGAGATATTTATGTTGTTTTTGAGTTGATGGAATCTGATCTTCACCAAGTAATTAAGGCCAATGATGACTTGACTCCTGAGCATCACCAGTTTTTCTCATACCAGCTTCTTCGCAGTCTGAAGTATATACACTCAGGTCAGTGCTTTTCAGAATGCTTCCTTAACCCCATCTCTTAGTTGTATTTGTTGAGTTTCTTTACTCATATTGCTGCAGCAAATGTATTCCATCGAGATTTAAAACCAAAGAACATCCTTGCTAATGCTGACTGTAAGTTGAAGATATGTGATTTTGGGCTTGCCCGAGTGTCATTTAATGATGCCCCATCGGTGATTTTTTGGACTGTATGTTGTTCTTTCATTAAATCTTTATGGGTGGCCTGGATAAATTCCTATGTTATACGGGCTAGTAACCTGTGGCAATTGGCAGGAAATGTAAACTACAGCTGGAATTTAAACCGAATCCTCAAGCTACGAACTGAAGTAACCACAACAATCTTGAATGGTCCTCTTTCTATAAAGGACATCTGGCAGGAGATAAGGGTGAAGGAAGAAAAAGTTCCATGGCATTCTTTGATATGGTTCCCACATCCAAGGTCTTAACTTTTGTTGCTTAATATCCTTTAAAAAAAACTTTTTGTTGCTTAATATGACGTCCAAGATTGTCCTTATACAGTTTAGTAAATTTGAGTGGTTTTGTAGATCAAATCCTCATTTCAAGTTATGTAGTGCTTAAGCGAAATATAGGGGGTGGGGGTCTGGAAATTCTAAATTTCAGTTGAAAACAGTTGCTTCTAGCATTTCAATTAACGGTATTCTTTTTCTTTTTCAATCAAATAGTGGCGTTGATCGATTCAAACGACAATTTGCACATTTGGAGGAGCATTATGGTAAAGGTGAAAGAAGTACTCCACTTCTAAGACATTATGCTTCTTTGCCTAGGTATGCTTCATAAAATTGTAGGAATCATGTTAGTTCCGTAATTTCTTCCCCAAACCTAGTCTGTCTAGTTCACGTGTCATATTTTAATTTGCCTGAATATCGTATTTACAGATCGCGAGTTCCTGCTTCCAAGGATGAGGATGATCAAGTTGATGGTGAGAATAACGCTGCTTCAATGTCGCAAGATGGTTCAGAAAACTCTAGTGCTCGTAGCTTATTGAAGAGTGCTAGCATTAGTGCCTCCAGGTGCGTTGTTGTGAAAGAAAAAAATGACGACGAGGTAGACATCTCTTAACTAAAGCTGTCTGACAAACTAACATCAACTTAGCATGAAAAGAAAACCGTTAACGATAATGCTTCAACTGTTAACTGACAAGCCGTTCTTGATGTAAGAACCAAGTGAATGTTATGTAGTTCTCGTATTTATTCCATATTTATTTTCCATGCTGCAGGTCACTGAAGAGATGGTTGATAACTTATCTGAGAAGGTTGCTACACTTAATGCTTGATCCAAACTTCCAATCTGCTTTCGAAGGATATAGTTGGCTTGGTGTGTTACCCGTTTTTGCCCTAACCGTTCGGAAGAGGTTAATTCAAAGTGATTTGCACCAAACCCTTTCCTTCCCCCCTCCCCCTTCGTACAGAAGCTAACAGAAGGATGATGTCAACGTTCACAGTGCAGAGAAGGCCTCACCTGTGATGTTGCTCTATTTACATTTGAAGTAAGCAAGAGATGTATTTGTTCTATTACTGAATTTTTATTTTAAAGAAAAAAAGAAGGCACTGTATAATATTTCCATTTTTGAATAGAAATTGTGCTTATGTCGTCATTTCTAGTAAAAGATTGCTGCATTCGTACCCACCGATATGCTATAACTAGTACTCGGATTGATTTATGAAGAAATCGAGACCAGTTGTGATGTCTAGTGTTCCTACATAGACAAACTCTTTATTGTTGAAAAAAGGAGGATTCATCTCTCCTTCAATGGATAATGTGGCGATTTTGATGGCTTAATGGCAGATCTGCAATCTTCCCATTCCTTCTGTATAAAAAGGGGAAAGAGTATTATTGATCAATTGAATCGAGATTAATGTCATGTCTAGAGTTGGTCGATTCTGCAGGTTTGACAGCCCAACGGCCAACACAAGTCTAATTATGGTGTTACCTGATTTTTTTAAAAGGTAAAGTTCACTAAGTGATTGAATTATGTTTAAATGATCATTTTATAATTTTTTTAAAGTTTAGTGGCTAAAATAATTATTTAAGTATAGTTCAGTGACCTTTGATGTATTTTACACTTCAAAAAATTAATCAATCTTTTGAACTGTACAGCTTATCTAGTACTGTTATTTTAACTACGTGCGAATATAATTATATAAAACTAATAATAAAAAATTCCCCATCATTCTTCACTTCCTTTGAGCCTCAAATCCTACGCCTCTGCTTCCCCTCTCAGTTATCATTTTCTCCAATCAAATCAAACCAAAACCCAATGCCTGAGCTCGCGGAAACCTACGCTTGTGTGCCCTCAACAGAGCGGGGTCGTGGAATCCTGATCTCGGGCGACCCAAAATCCAACAGGGTTCTTTACACGAATGGGAGATCCGTCATCATTCTTGACCTTAACAATCCACTCAACGTCTCCGTTTACGGGGAGCATGCGTACCCGGCCACGGTGGCACGGTTCTCGCCGAACGGGGGAGTGGATCGCCTCGGCTGACGTGTCCGGCACTGTTAGGATCTGGGGGCCCACAACGAACACGTCTTGAAGAAAGAGTTCAAGGTTTTGTCGGGTCGGATCGATGATCTCCAATGGTCTCCTGATGGGTTGCGGATCGTCGCCTCCGGTGATGGCAAAGGCAAGTCTCTCGTTCGCGCTTTTATGTGAGTATTCCTCCCTTTTCTTATCCTTTGTTAGTTGTTTTTTCTATTTCAGTTTTGAATATTTTGAATGGAGGCCTTAATTCTAGAAGCAGACTAAGAAACTGGTATTTTTATTTGAATTTATATGTTATGGATTCGTTGTAAGGAGAAGACTGTTTTATGCATTTTCAATGAACAATATGATGCTGTCCTAAGATTGCATTTGTTTCCGAGTGCTAGAAAACTTAAGCTGAGTTTTCTTGAGATGGGATCTGTATCAAATCTATGCTCGAATAACAAATCACACATAAAACCCAAATCATGTTTACCTACTCAGTTTGAAGAAATTCAAACATGTTTGGAAATAGGGTTACTTAACACACATGATTTGGAAGCAAGAGTAGCTAAGGATCCTGGGCTTTGATTTTTGGTAGATTACGAAGGAAAAGAAAGAAACTTAATGGTGTTCTTTGTCCAGTAAAGTTCTCATGTTGTTATTATTAAATACTTGATGAACATTATCTTGCATAGGTGGGATTCAGGCACTAATGTGGGTGAGTTTGATGGTCATTCAAGACGAGTTCTGAGTTGTGCTTTTAAGCCAACAAGACCATTTCGCATTGTGACTTGTGGAGAGGACTTTTTGGTGAATTTCTATGAAGGCCCACCTTTTAAATTCAAGCAATCTCACAGGTTTGTTATAATAAATATGTTTCCTTAAGACTTTTGGTCTGATAAGATCTCTTTTACTTCTGAATGTGGATAGAATAAAAAATGGGCTCTTTTTTTTAACTTACTAAGAAATTTCGTTTGGAGATGTGCACACATAGACAAGCATGTGTCCATGCTCAGAGACATGCACACTCCACTCATATTTTGCTCCATGTTTGGCGACATATACAATAACCCAACTTTGCAAGAAAAATAAAGTCACGTCTCTTCAATATTTTGTGTTTATGACAATGTAATCTTTAGTATGTTTTTTCATTTCAGGTATTAATTCATAGGCTGAAATGCTTCAATTTTTATTTGCAGAGATCATGCCAATTTTGTAAATTGTGTAAGATTTTCTCCAGATGGAAGCAAATTCATCACTGTTAGCTCTGATAAAAAAGGCATTATATTTGAAGGAAAAAGTGGGGAGAAGATTGGAGAGTTGTCGCCTGAAGATCCCCACAAAGGTAGCATTTATTCTGTTAGCTGGAGTCCTGATGGTAAACAGGTGAGCTTATGAGAACTTTTATTGCTTGGCAGTTGAAATTCCACTGTATGTGCTATATACACCTATTCCATTGTCTCATCACTGCAACATGAGATTTGGGATTATTGTTGCTTAGGAACATAAAAAATAAACTGGCACCAAGACTGTATTATCAAGTTGAAATCCGTAAAATGGGTTTGCCTTTCCCCCCCCATGTTTTATGCACTTGATGTGTAGTTATTACTTTTCCTTGGTGCACGTTGTATTTGCATAGAGAAGACATTATTGATTTAACTTTGACTTGTGAATCAATCTTTACAATATAGTTAAAGCGGTTACAATGTTCTTTCATGATGTTCCTTTCTTTAGTTCAATTTAATTGCTTACCATGCTATGTGTTATATGCTTTTTAAGATTTATTAATATTTTTCAGGTGCTGACAGTATCTGCTGATAAGACAGAAAAAGTATGGGATATCTCTGAGGATGGTTGTGGGAAGTTGAAGAAAACATTGACATGTTCTGGCTCAGATGGAGTTGACGACATGCTTGTTGGATGTCTTTGGCAGAATGATCATCTTGTCACCATCTCTCTTGGTGTTACAATTAGTTTGTTCTCCGCTAGTAATCTTGAAAAGTTGCCACTTCATTTATCAGGACACATGAAGAATATCACTTCATTAGCTGTCCTAAAAAGTGACCCAAAATGTATACTGTCTTGTAGTTATGATGGGCTAATAGTTAAATGGGTTCAAGGTTTAGGATATAGTGGTAAATTACAGAGGAAAGATAATTCTCAAATTAAATGTTTTGCTGCTGCTGAGGAAGAGATTGTTACATCTGGATTTGACAATAAGGTGCTCATCTTTTTTATTTCTAGTCTGATGAAACATTCATTTAAGTTTCAATTTGTTATTTTTTTCTTATTGGAGGTGGATGAAAACATGCTTTTTATGTGGCTTTGGCATAAATTTTCTCATTTGTATTTGGAGCGGTAGGTTTGTTATGCATCATCCTACTTATAAGTAGAATGTACCTCTAGATACATATTCAAGATGAATGTAAGCTTTCCCCTATACTATATGACAAAGGGCACATCCTCACATTAGTATCTTCTTTTAATTGTCCAATATATATATTTGACATGGGTATTAATATAGACTATCTGTTTATGATGTGAAGATCATGTTTTAAAATTGACATGAAACTTTTAAGTGATAATTCTCTAGGTATAATATCTTTAAGTTATGCCAAAAGAAAAATAGTAATTTAACCTATATGGAGCAGAAGGATAAAGTTAAAGTGCAAAACTTGGAATAGAGGAAGTATGTTTTTGCGTTACTGAATATTAGTATCTAAAAGCAGCAGCAGGTATAGCTTCTAGTAATTGTAGGATGTTAATGGTCTTTTTTCTTTCTTCTCTTTTCCTTGTGTCTGTGAATATGGGATCTGGTTTCTGTTTAGTAAAATGCTAAACCAAGTCATTTATGCATCACATTCCATACGTGTAGGTTCTATTGTTTCTAATATTTTCCTTTTAATGGTACTCCGTACTCCTTTCTCAGATATGGAGAATTTCTTTTCATGGGGATCAATTTGGGGATGGAGATTCTGTTGGTATTGGCAGTCAACCAAAAGACTTGAGCCTTGCCCTTCTCTCTCCCGGACTTGCTTTGGTTACAACTGACTCGGGCGTTGTTATGCTGCGTGGTACAGAAGTGGTATCAACCATTAACCTTGGTTTTACTGTGACAGCATTAGTGGTTGCACCTGATGGAAGTGAAGCTATTGTTGGTGGGCAGAATGGAAAATTGCATATATTTTGTATCATGGGTGATACCCTTAAGGAAAAGGCATTGCTTGAGAAACAACCGAGGTGCAATTACTGTCATACGTTACTCACCAGATTTCTCAATGTTTGCATCTGGAGATGCAAATCGAGAGGCTATAGTCTGGGACCGTGTCTCTCGAGAGGTATTTTCGTTAGTATTTCAATATTTGTTTGTTCTTTTAGCATTTGAATGTCATATAATTTTGTGCAGTAAACGCTACTAGTTGCCTGTCTCTTTCTGTTTCTTTATCTTGTATATTTATGCTTATACACTCCAAAAAGTGGAGAGAGACATGAACATGGTTGCTGCAGTGCCAACATGATGTATGCTTTTTTTTATTTTGCAATGATGAATGTCCTTTAATACTTTTTCATGGGTTTTCTAGCATGTATTATTCCCCTCTTCTAGATGACTTAAGCAGATTGAAGGGCAACACAAGTGTTGAATTAATGGCCTTATGTATTATTGGCTTCCCTTGAGCATACTGGACCTTAGTACCTTAAAACTTAGTCCGTTTTCTCTTTTCATTGAGTAATGAATGTTTGGTAATGTCAGACTTATTTTTCACAAATACTCTTATGCACTCTTATGCAGGTAAAGCTTAAAAACATGTTGTACCACACTGCTCGGATTAACTGTCTTGCGTGGTCACCCAATAGCAGTATGGTTGCTACCGGATCACTCGACACATGTGTAATAATTTATGAGGTTGACAAGCCTGCATCTACCCGCATTACCATAAAGGGAGCTCATTTAGGCGGAGTTTATGGATTAGCCTTTACTGATGAATACAGTGTGGTGAGCTCCGGCGAGGATGCATGTGTTCGAGTGTGGAAGTTGACCCCCCAATGATGAAGACCAGT